GTAAAGAAATCAATGCAGTGATTCTCTAAGTTTTTGGTCTGATTACCCCTTGGTATGCTTATAAGTTATTAGAGCTTTTGTTTATGTGGGTTATATCTATATTTATAGTATTAGAAATTAAAATTAAGAAATAACTATTCTTTTTTTTTAAAGTGAAGTACAATATATAATAAAATTCACCTAGTTTTAGTGTATAGTTCTATGAAGTTTTGGCAAATGCAGTCATGTAACTATTACCACAATCACCATATAGAATCACCACCCCCCCCCCCAAATTACCCCCTGTCCCATTGTAGTCAATTCCTCCAGGGACTCAGTTTTCCTGAGTCCCTGGAAAACACTTATCAAGACTGAGAAAACAATTTAAGCCCAAGAGTATCAAAGCACATATTCCATTAGACATCAGAGCCATGACCTCATCACATTTTATATAGCTTCTGGAAAATTCCAGGGCACAACCATGAGTGAATGAGAGTGGGGAAGGCAAATAATATCTATTATTCTGAAAATAGTTTTTACTTCAATAACCACCTGAAGGGGTCCCAAGGAGGGGTTCTGCAAATATACTTGCAGAACCTCTACTTTAAATGTTTTTTTAAAAACTGATTTTTAGAGAGAGAGGAAGGGAGAGGAATAGAGCTATGGAAACATTGATGAGAGAGAAATTTCATCGATCGGCTGCCTCCTGCATGCCCCCTACTAGGGATTAAGCCCACCACCCAGGAGTGTGTGCCCTGACCAGGAATCAAACTGTTGACCTCTTGTTTCCTGGGTTGACGCTCAGCCACTGATTCACACCTCCAGGTGAGAACCCCTCCTTTAACTTCTTGAGTGAATACCGTGCCATCCCATCCACAGATCTACTTAGAACTCTACATGGCAGACTAGTTTCAATAACATAGAGTATCCACAGCCAATCAACTCTCAAGTATTTTTGAGCACTTTGCATGCCTTATCTGGATTGAATTCTTGCAACAGTCACATGAGTAATAACAGTACATCACATTCATGAAGTTAGTATCTCCTCCAGCCTGGCCCTCCCTGCTCCTCTAACCAGTAGGGGTATGGCTGTCCTTGACTAACAGATGTTCTTATTATTAAGGATATATTACTCATTATGGCAATAATGCCGCAGCCAGGAACCAGCAGGGCCTGCTCTAACATCCGTCTGGCAGATCAAGGGTTCACAGCACCAACAGAGAGCACACAGTCACTATTTAGAGTCTTAGAGCTCTTCCAGCTGCTGGTATTATTCTGCAGGCAAATGGTTTATTCAGGACCCTCAGCTCCTGAGGATTAAAAACCAAAAGCAGCATTTTCCCAGCTGCCCCCATGTGTACTAAGTTGGACCTCTTCCTTTCACACCATGGAGTAGGGCCCTTGTAACGCAATGTTTGTATCTATGTTTAGAGACTTCTCATCTCCTTTCCATAGATATATTGGTGTTCTCTTTATTTTTTTAATTTAAAACTCAAATCTGATTCCAAAGTCTTCTCCCTGATCCCAGGGGAGTGAGTGTCCGAGGGAGAGAGAAGGATAGCTCTGTATTCCTTCTTCACTCCCTCTTCTGGCTTCCTGTGTGTCAGAAGGAAGAGCTCAGAAATTGTGATCAAGGTGTGACACAAAGTCACAAGAAAGATCTAGAATCCAATTAAGTATCTTTTTAATATGTTTTAATATATTTTTATTGATTTCAGAGAGAAAGGGAGAGGGAGAGGGAAAGGGAGATAGAAACATCAATGATGAGAGAGAATCATCAATCGGCTGCCTCCTGCACACCCCACACTGGGATTGAGCCTGCAACCCAGGCATGTGCCCTGACCGGGAATGGAACCAGTGACCTTCTGGTTCATGGGTCAACGCGCAACCATTGAGCCACACTGGCTGGGCATCTTTTTAATATTTAAAAAAATTATCATTGTTCTATATTTTCCTCCAGATAGGTAGGGATATGGGGAGCTTCCAGGTTAGCAAAGACATCCATGTCAGGAGGGTGACACCCCAACTCCACGGGGGCAGAAGCTCCTGCACACTCAGGACCCTCCCAGATCTCACCCTATGCATCTCCTTACCTGGCTGTTCATCTGTGTCCTTTATCATCTCCTTTAATTAACTGGCACATGTAATTAACTGGTAAATTACATTAAGTTAATTAAAGGAGATGATAAAGGATATAGATGCTTCCCTGTAGTGTTTCCCTAAGTATTTCCCTGCATTTTAGGGAAGTTTCCCTGAACAACTCTAGCAAATTAATCAAACTGGAGGAGAAAATCATGGGAACCTCCAATGTGTGGCCAAATCAGACAGAAGTTGTGGGTGACCTGAGGACCTAGGACTGGACATTGGCATTTGAAGTGGGGTGGGAGCTGTCCCGTGAAACTGAGCCCTTGACCTGTTGGACATGACATTATCTCCAGGTAGGTAGTATCAGAACTGACTTAAATTGTAGAGCACCTAGCCTGGCCGGTGTGGCTCAGTGGTTGAGTGTCGACCTATGACCCAAGAGATCATGGTTCGATTCCCCATCAGGGCACATGCCTGGGTTGCAGGCTTGATCCCCAGTAGGGGGCATGCAGGAGGCAGTCGGTCGATGTTTCTCTCTCCCTCTCCCTTCCTCTCTGAAATCAATAAAAAAAATATATATTTTTAAAAATTGTAGGACACCCAGCTGGTGTCACAGAGACTTGCTTGTGTAGGGTAAACCACACACGTCTGGTGTCAGAAGCGTCGGTGCACGACGCTCCAACCAACTGACCCACCCACCGGGCCAGGATGCCTTGACATTTTTAAACAAGGGCTTAATCTCCTAACCAAGCCTCCCCTTTCTGCTGGCTCCTGCGGTAAGTCAGGAGGTTCTTACACTTCCCAGCACAAGGCCAGGGACCGGGGAGTGACTCCAGGTGGCAGTGCCATCCCACCAGCACGGCTAGCAGAGCAGAGACCTACCACCAAAGTCTGAGTTTTTCCTTTTGGTCTTTTATCCAGTGTCAGTTCTCAAAAAAAAAAAAAAAGACAAATCTCTTTATGAATTTAAATCCATAGGCTTCCCTTTTAAAATTAAGTGCCATTTTTATAACTACTAGAATATTGTTTTGATACAAAATAGGGTTTAAAACTGAGGTGATTGGAGAACCGCTGGTACATAGCACATGCTTTTTATATTCAGTATTTCAGGCTAAGGGGCAACTTGTCAGGCTCTATTCCAGCCTCTATTTAAAAATTTTTTAAATCTTCATCTGAATATGTTTTTTTAAAATATATTTTTATTGATTTCAGAGAGAGTGAAGGAGAGGGAGAGATGGAAACATCAATGATGACAGAGAATCATTGACCAGCTGCCTCCTGCATGCCCCGCACTGGGGATCAAGCCCACAACCCGGGTATGTGCCTGTGACCAGAATAGAACCTGGGACCTTTCAGTCCTCAGGCCAACGTTCTATCCACTGAGCCAAACTGGCTAGGGCTGAGGATATGATTTTTATTGAAGAGGGAAGGGGGCAAGAGAGAGAGGAGAGAGAGAGAGAGAGAGAGAGAGAGAGAGAGGCTGGTTGCCTCCTGTACATGCCCAACAGGGGATTGAACCACAGCTGAGGTATGTGCCCTGACCAGGAATCAAACCCACAACATTTTCGGTGTACAGGATGATGCTCCAAACAACTGGGCAACCGGGCTGGGGCGCCAGCCTCTATTTTTAAGATGTTCGCCTTATAAAAAAAGAATCTGAGGGGGGAAATCATGGTGCTTTATGCCGCCGTGAAATAAAACCCATCTGGCTTTTGGCATGCCCTCATTTCCCGGGCAGATGGATAATGCGGTTAGCTGGGGGCAACTGCCTTTATAATATTCCAGTCTGCCCAAGGATGTCTCAAAGACCAGAGGTATAAAAATGCGAGCCATGTTTGTCTTGGCTGATAGTATCATCCAGATGTAACTTTAGAACAGGGATTCTCAATTCTCACCAGCATCAGCATCACCTGGGACTCTCTTACAAATGCAAACACAGGCCTCTCCCCAGATCTGCTGAATTAGAAACTCGGAATGGGGCTCGGCTACCTGTGTGTTAACGAGCCCGTTGGGGGATGCTGACCCGTGCTCAGAAGTAAGAAACCATTGCTTTAGAAAAACACCACCACATTTCTAAGAAAGACGAGAAAACATTATATTTTATAAGTTAATCAACATGTTATTTAGTAATTTACTTCTCTAAGACATTTTTTCAATGCCTATTATGTACTAAGTATTTTCCCAGTGTTCAGGGGTGCACCTCGGGAGTCCTTAGAGAGCAGGCAGAAAATATAAACGTGCAACACTTGCTCTGGCCTGGCTGCAGAGTGGACAGGATGGAGCAGACTGTTTTGGGGCCCGGGTTGCTAGTGGCCAGAGAGAAAGGAAGACCCGGGGGAGAAATGCTGTGCGCCCGCCCCCACCCCTTTCCCAAGAAGCGAATAATCCTATTACATAAAAAATTCTCTGTTTAAATGTTGGAAAAATTGGAAACAAATTTTAAAAGTACTTTTTAATAAAAAAGGACATCTTTATTGAGATATCATTCGCATGCCATATAGACAGGGCTGTAGAAATCAGGTAATAATGCTTGTTGGGTAAATGAATGAGCGATATTTGGCCTTCTCACACTTGCCTTACTTTTTTTTTTTCCTTGATTCATTTCACTAGACCTTCAGCTCCGTGATGACAATGGCACGTCTAACTTGTTCTCTGTCATATGCCCAGTGCCTATTATAGTAGGTGCTCAATAAACAGTTCTTTAATGCATGGACAAATTTAAAATTTTCTTTGTCATATTCTGCATTTGTTAGAGCACCCTGCGTTTCAAGAATATTATACCCATAACATTAATGAATCCCTACAGATAAGCATTTAGAGAGATGCCGTTAACCAAAGGGTGCTCATGGGTACCTCGACAGCCATTTCACAGGCGGGCGTGCCCTATGGGCACCCCAGTAAAACCCCACCAGCCACAGAGAGCCAGTCAATTCTTCTAACCAGGAGGGCTCTCCCCGCCCCCTCTCCCCGCACAGCTTGCTCTGCCCTCCGCCCCCTCCTCTCCGCCCACTCTCGCCGCGGTCTCCTGGCGGCGGAGGCTTTGTCTCGTGGGCTGGTCCCCCGGCGGCTGCCTCCCCCGAACAGCTGCCGCCAGAGGGAGGAAGCGGCGCGGGAGCTGTCCGGCACCCCCGGTGCTGAAACCCCGACCGCTCGTCATCCACCACCACCACCATGTAAGGGCCATGAGAAGGGCTCGTCCTCGCGCAGCGCGGACATGGAGGAGGACTTATTCCAGCTCAGGCAGCTGCCGTGAGTACCAGGGGGGGCGAGTGAGCGGCAGGCCGGCTTTCCTTGCAAATATGAAACCCTGCAGGGGGGCATCGCTGCGTGGCTTCTTGAATTTAAAGGGAACCGTTTCAGAGGAGAGAATTAGGCCTGGAGGAGAAAAGCCATTTTCCTACCCCAGGAGCCCAGCCTCTGTATCTGACTCAGTTCGATTTTTATTTTTATTTTTTTCCAGATCCGTCAGAATCTTATGGGGGCATCCACAGGGTGTTCTGCTTCCCCTTTTAATTGCTCTCCATCCTAAAGGGATTTTGAGGTCTGTGTTTTCAGAAAGCATTCGCCGCCGTTTTGCAATGTGGGCTGAATTTACGAGTCCATGCAATGACATGGGCTCTTCCTAGCCCTTCTCCTGTGCTGTGAAATTCCTAATTTTTCTGCAGGGGCGTCTGCAAGGGGCTGATGACTGAGGTTGGAAACTGGTGTCTGAAAAGCCAAGATGCCTTCCCAGAGGGGAGGCCAGGGCAAAGTCCGGTTGTTTAGGAAGCGTGTGAATGGGAGGGCTGTGCACCCTGGCTGAAACCTCTTGCCTTCTTCTGAATGGAAGGTTTTTGTAACAGCTAGAGTGAGACTCACTGTCAACAGCTTTCCTTGGGAACATCAGCAACACACTGCTTAGCGGATGGGCATTTTTAAAGCGATACCAAATTTGTTCTGAGACCTTTGAGGAAATACAACCAAGCAAAGGAAAGGACAGGGGCCTCGCAGGGGGGGCTTAGGGAGGTCTCCTACCGCAAGCCCACGGTGATTTCTTAAGCAAATCCCAAGAGTCTGAGGTGGGCATTAAAAAGCACACTAAGGGGGGACTGTTGTTTTAATTTTTAGAAGCGCTAGCCATTTGGATGGTAGCAGTAGACACCATTTGGATTTGTTGGGAAGGATACGATATTGTTCGTATGTGTGTATCTTCTTGACTTGAAACATTTTTTTTCCCTCTCGCTAAGCCACTGAGGCACTCTCCCAAGTGACTTTTAGTGTGACTGACACAGCTCTCTGAGGCTCCGAGTCCTGAAGGATATTGCAATATTTACTTCTCAATCAGCGTCAAATTAATTTTCATTTCCAATGCTTAATTAATTCAAATGTTACTTTTAGGCTTCCATTAATTGATCCACAAATAGCATAGCTTATGTAACACAGCATTCTTTCACAAATGCTGAAGGATGCTCAGTGATCATATCCAAAGGTCGATGTCTGAATCCATAACAATGCACCTATCTGAGCGCAAGTCTCTCAAGGAAAACACACCACTTCCATTGAAAATAAGGATCATGTTCAAAGCCAACCTACTATCCCCAGGTGAAAAAAATAATTTAGAGACTGAAATATGAAATTTGGTCCTCACAATAACAATACGATTCATATTGGAGCTGCCGTTTTCCTGGGATAAATTTTCAAATAATGTCAGAGCATGTGAACCTGGCGAGTTACTCAAAGATTCATGTATATTTAATTTACTGTTATGCAAGCCTGACACTATTGTGACAAGTCCTTCCTTCATGAAAAAAGGTAAAATAACAGGAGGGTTTTACTTCTTTAAATTTAAAAAATAATTCATTTTATGTCAATAGATAAGATAAAGTACTATATCATCTATATATAGGGCAAGTGCAAAAAGAAGCACAAGGATTAAAAGTAAGTCTCTCTCTGCCCAAATCCCAGTTTTATGTTTCTTGATTCTGATATTTTATGCATATATATGTGTATGTGTATGTGTGTATACATATATATTATCTAATATATATAATATCTATTAGAGGTGTGTGTGTATGTATATATGTGTATATATATACATATATATATACACACACACATATATATTATCTAATATATATAATATCTATTAGAGACCAAATTGTGTACTGGTTAAGAGTATTGGCTATTGAGTAAGGGCCTTGGGTTCCGATCCTGACTCTGCCACTTCCTGGTTATGTGACTTTGAGCAAGTGACTTAACCTTTCTGATTCTGAGTTTCCTTGGCCATAAAATGGGGGTCACAATTGTACTTGGTTCATGGGGTTATTGTGAAGCTAAAGTGAGACAATGTGTGCTACATACCTGACAGACACACAACATTCAACACATATTAACTATTATTATTACATCTGAAAGATCATTGGTAAAAGCAGAATCTATAGACTTCTTATGTTGGACTTCCAAAAATTGTCCTCTGAAAACCCCCAAATTACATTTGAATGGAGTCAAAATTAGCCCTGAAATGTGTTGACCTCGGTTTATTTAAAATAAACAAAGTAAAAGGAACAGCCACGTGACTCTGAGTGGGGTACAAATCACGACTGAGATGGATTTAAGCCACACCCTGTGTATGTTACCCACAGATTGCAGGTAGCACATTTCCTGAGAGCATCATGGTTTAAAAAATCAGAGTGCCTTCTAGAGGGTTGGCAAGAGTGGGGTTTGGAACAGGCTCGGTCCCACGGGAGGCTAAGTGTTAATGGATAATAAGCCGCTAAGTAGTTTACGGGTTAGGGGAGGGGGAAAGGGGACGAGGGTGCCTAAGAAAACAGTCCTTCCTTGTACTTGGGCCTCCTTCACATAGCTCCAGGATGGTTCATGTGAGACCACGGACAACCTGTGCTTTTCACCTGCTGTCCACTCAGGCTCCACACCGTGTTCCAAGACATTCCGGAGGCTGAGATTTTGTATCTAGTTCTGCCTTATTGTGGGACCTTGTGCAAGTTAGACTTTTCTGGGTCTTTCCTTTCTAGGATGATTTCTTGAAAGCAAGTTTTGCAGACTACATTGATTGATGGATGGATGGGTTGATTCATTTATTCATTTATCCAATTTACTTGGGCGCCATCCTTGATACAAGAGACTCTACAACTAAATAAGAGAAGCTCATAACCTAGAGCTGCAATATATAATACAGCAATCACTAGCTCCATGTGGCTATTTAAATTTAAACATAGCCCTAGCCGTTTTGGCTCAGTGGATAGAGTGTCAGCCTGCTGACTGAAGGGTCCCAGGTTCGATTCCGGTCAAGGGCATGTACCTTGGTTGCAGGCTCCTCCCCGGCCTGGGTCCTGGTCAGGGCTCGTGCAGGAGGCAACCAATGGATGTGTTTCTCTCACATCGATGTTTCTCTCTCTTTCCTCTCTCTTCCACTTTCTCTAAAAATCAATGATGGAAAAATCTTAGATGAGGATTTAAATAAAATAATTAAAAAACGTAAACATAAATCATGTCAGTGTGTGAAATAACTTTAATAATATAATACATATTATAAATATAATTTATAAATAAAATATGTGAAATTTGAAAAATCAGTCCCTTGGTAGCACTTAACCAAGGAGAAATGGTTCACTGTCACCCACTTCAGGCAAAAAGTAGGGAGAGCACAGGGAGCCTCAAGGTTAACCCACCAAAGCCTTTTACAACCTCAAGTTCAAAGCCACTCAGACCTCATTATTTCAAACACATGGTAGCTAACTTCACTCTAAGGCAGTGGTTCTCAACCTTGGCTGCACATTAAAATCACCTGGGAATCTTTTTTTAGAATCCTGATTTTCTGGGCCTCATCCTCCGGAAATTCTGTTTCTTTGTTACTAATGTTGTGGCCCCACCCCATAACAGCGGTTCTGGATGATGGTTGTTCTGTATTTTAGTTGTAATTTTGATGTGGTTGTGGGAGGCGGCCTATGCCGCCATCTTGGTTCCTTCTCTTTTACTCTGTAATACAGGGTTGTATTAAATCTCAACCTTGACTCTATTCACATTTTTAGGCCAGATAATACTTTGTTGTGAGGGGCTGTTCTATGCATTATAGGATGTTTAGCAACATCCCTGGCCTCCACCCACAAGATGTCACAACCACCATTCCCCCTTCCCCCTGAGTTGGGACAATCAAAACTGTCTCCAGTCATTAGTAATATCCCCTGGGAGACTAAATCACCCCCGCTGAGAACCACTGTTCTAAAGGGTCCTAGTTTAGACGAACTATTCTGCCCTTGACCAGAACTGAACCCAGGACTCTTCAGTCTGCAGGCCGACGCTCTATCTACGTCTCTTCGCGCTAGACTTTAAGTGGCACCGTGAGATCATCACAAGGAGAGTTAAGCTTTCCTTCAGTCTGGTAGGTTCATGAACTTAAGGGATAGAAGTCCAGAAACTCAGATGGGAAGAGAAAAAAAAAAACACCTTCCTTGTCTAAAATACCCTAATCAAGTCTCAGACCCTAACTTAAGGTATGAGGTGAATGAATTTCATGACGGTACAAACAAGATCTTGACTGTTGACAGCTAGTTCCTCAAGCTCATCTCTCCTTTAAACAGCAAAATTATGTAAAATAAATGTTCCCAGCTATTTTGGTGAATTATATGCTATCTATACCCCACAAATGCCAGGGAGTTGTGAGCCAGCCTGCTTTGAAGCCCTCATATATTTAACATATGTCACTGCTATTTTCTTTCATATTTCTCTCTCTCTCTCTCTCTCTCTCTCTCTCTCGGGAAGTCTTGGCTCGTGTATTCGATACATACTTTTAGAAACCCGACCCATTCAAAATGAGGCCCGGCTTTCTGAATCTAATTTAATGTCAAAGGTCCCCCTGTTATGTCTGCCTCAAGGCAAGCGTTCATAAATAAATAAAGTGTGCATAAATACAGGTGCCCTGGCTTCTTGCGTTCAGCCAGAGGAGGACTGTGAGCAGATCCTGGTGTAAAACTGCAGGGAGCTAAGCCGCTTCCTCAAGGTCACATTCCGCAAAGGTCAGCGTACTCCTTGTTCAAGGCAGAAAGGTGGCCTGAGTGGAGCCGGGTGGGAGGCAAGCTCATACTGACTTCTGGCCTGCAACTGCCCGTTCATCAGGCTCAGTGACACTTCACGACGGTCCTGCACGCCCGTCGTCGTTCCCATTTCACAGACGTAACATGCTCAGCAGACGCTGCCCCATCAGCAAGAGCTCCGCAAAGAGTCGCGATTGTTACGTATATTTATGATTAATGTACAGATGCCCCGGTTCAAAAATGCAACCATTACGGAGGGGTCCAAAACAAAAGTAAAGACTATTTCCTTTCCCTCGCAAGGAAATCCTCATTTCCATCCAGTCCTCCTCCCCAGAAGCAACCAGTCTTCAGCGCTACGCCTCCTTCCAGACTGTCTCGGCTGTAGGAGCTTCAGTAATCTACAACAGCGCTTCTCAGACGTGGCCGTGCACGCATTGCCTGGGGACCTGGTTAAAATGCAGATGCTGACTTAGTAGGCCTGGGTCAGGACTCCGCCTGCAGTTCTAATAATCCCCTAGGGCAGTGGTCAGCAAACTGCGGCTCTTGAGCCACATGCGGCTCTTTGGCCCCTTGAGTGTGGCTCTTCCACAAAATACCACGTTTTTAGCAAAGGCCAGCTTAGGAGTACCCTAATTAAGTTAATAACAATGTACCTACCTATATAGTTTAAGTTTAAAAAATTGGGCTCTCAAAAGAAATTTCAATCATCGTACTGGTACTGTTGGTATTTGGCTCTGTTGACTAATGAGTTTGCCGACCGCTGCCCTAGGGGTCACTGGGCCTCTGGTTGGCGACCACCCTCAAGTCTTCGTGGCAAGGACCTAGATCACAGGATCATACTCTAGCATATTTAATAATGAGCCCAACAGTTTTATCCTGCTGGCTCTGACAGATCAACTTGTGTGTATGCGTATGTATGTGTGTTTATTGTGATACACTATGCATTACATAAACTTGACCATTTTGATCATGGTAAATGTACAGTTAGTGGCATTAAGTACATTCACATTGTGTAACCATCACCACTGTCGATTCTCCAGAATTTTTTTATCTTTCCCAACTGAAATTCTATACCCATTAAACACTAACTCCCCCATCCTCCCTCCCTCCTGCACCTACTTTCTATCTCTGTGAATTTGACTCTTTTTTGCCCCCTCATAGAGGTGCACGATATTTGTCCTGGTGTGTAGGCTTATTTCACTTAGTGTAACGTCTTCGAAGTTCATCCATGTTGTAGAACGCATCAGAATTCCCTGCCTTTTTAGACCACACTGTGTTCACCCATCCGCTGACGGACACATGGATTGTGTTTGTCTTTGGCTATTGGGATACAGATCAGCTTACAAACAGTTTTGAAGACATTTTCTTAAGTGGCTGTGCCATCCTCTCTGTCGTTCCTCCTCTCCCAGTGATGGTTTCTGGGTTTGTTCATACTTGTCACATTGAGAGGATAATTATCACATGCGAAGCTGCAAACAGCCTGTGAGCTTCAGAGGAGAATAGCACCAGCAGAGAGGCTGGGAGTGGGGACTCCGGGAGGGCAGGTGGCGTTGCCAAAGCCTGGCTTACACACCCACTGTGTGACCTTGGACGAGCTCCCAGCCCTTCTGTGCTCGAGCGTCCTCATCCGGAACATGGGGATAGTGAAAGTGAAGGTTAAATACGATAATCGATGGCAAGTGCACACCCTGGGCCTGACACGCAGCTAGCTAAGAATCCACAGCGGGCCGTTATGTGGGCGGTGAATCGTCGCCTGCTTGGGTCTACCCCAGGGTTCCTCAAACTACGGCCCGCGGGCCACATGCAAATACAAATATTGTATTTGTTCCCGTTTTGTTTTTTTACTTCAAAATAAGATATGTGCAGTGTGCATAGGAATTTGTTCATAGTTTTTTTTTAAACTATAGTCCAGCCCTCCAACGGTCTGAGGGACAGTGAACTGGCCCCCTGTTTAAAAAGTTTGAGGACCCCTGGTCTACCCGGACAATGAACTGCCTGCACCGCCATTCTAGGTGGGCACACAGAGCATGTTACCTTTTGAAAGATGTCACAGGTCACCTTCCAGAAAGGTTGCAGTGGTTGCTGTCAGTCACAGACAGAAGGAAGGACCCCCCGGCGGCCCTCGAGGTGAGGATGCGATCAGACCCGTAGTCAAGGAAGATTTTCGGGCTGTGTAGCCATGTCCTTCTCGGATGCTATCCTCAGAGTCGAGGGTGACCCACTGACCTTTCCTTCATCCCTGAAAACGAAGCGAGAATGTGCATAAATGTTCATGTCCTTCCTTTGCCTAATACGTAGCGATGTGTTCGTCTTGTACAGATAGGTGCCTTGGGGGACTGTGTATGCTTTTATTTTGGGGTTGCTTCTTGGGGACAGAGAGTCCCTTCCTGGAACCCATTTCACACCACCCCTTATTCGGTGGGTTGCAGAGTTGAGATGTCCCATGGACAGGGACCACACGGACCAGATCTAGCCATACTATACCCTTAGAGCAGTGGTTCTCAACCTTCTGGCCCTTTCAATACAGTTCCTCATGTTGTGACCCAACCATAAAATTATTTTCGTTGCTACTTCATCACTGTCATGTTGCTACTGTTATGAATCTTAATGTAAATATCTGATATGCAGGATGGTCTTAGGTGACCCCTGTGAAAGGGTCGTTTGACCGCCAAAGGGGTCGTGACCCACAAGTTGAGAACCGCTGCCTTAGAGAGACAGGGGCCCCAGATGGCCAGAGAGCCTACTGTTTTAAGAGACATCAGAAGTCTTGCTTTCCATGTGAATTCTTTTAATTAAAAAAAAAATAAATGTAGCCCTGGCCAGTTTGGCTCAGTGGATGGAGCGTTGGCCTGTGGATTGAAGGGTCCCGGGTTCGATTCCAGTCAAGGGCATGTACCTGGGTTTCGGGCACATCCCCGGTAAGAGGTGTGCAGGAGGCAGCTGATCGATGTTTCTAACTCTCTATTCCTCTCTGTGGGAAATCAATAATATATATATATATATATTTTAAAAATGTAATATCCACTTTAAAAAAAATCCCATGTAGGCAACTTCTTGTGGGCATGATGTAACCTTCAGGTGACCACGCTGTTATCTCTGCTACAGAGAGATGAGTCTCAATTCCAAAACACACAAGCTCCCAAACTATTAAAGTCCAGAGTAAAGATCTCCCCAGTCCCATAGCTTACCATGTGACTGGAGCCCCATTGGAGCTGTGCGGTGCCCAACCTGTACAACCATATGTGGCAGCCCTGATGCATGACTTTGGAAGTTGTCAGCCTCTACAGGCCAATTCAATAGAAACGCCAACCTCCTACCCGTTCAACTCCCCTGACCATGAAAAAAAGCCGTTCACCTGTCTTGGGCACAAGAGCTGTGCAGCAAGACTGTTGAGGGGGAGTCCTAGCCTTCATGACCAGCTCTGCTCTCTCCTCTAGGGTGGTGAAATTTCGTCGCACGGGCGAGAGTGCAAGGTCAGAGGACGACGCGGCTTCGGGAGAGCATGAGGTCCAGATCGAAGGCGTCCGCACCGGCCTACAGGCGGTCGAACTAGACGATGGGGCAGCTGTGCCCAAGGAGTTTGCCAATCCCACCGACGGTGAGGGGGCCCTGCTTTTGGGGCATCAGCCCAGGCCACAGTCAGGGGCTCTGAGGGGCCTGGGTTGCCTCCCCTGGTGGCACTCTCAGGGGGATCTCGTGAAAAGGCAAGTAGGAGGGCCCAGAGGGCACAGGGGTGATACTGAAAGTGTGAACTGAACCCACATGGCTCACTTCAGCAGGAAAGGTTACATCACAATCCCTGCCACCAGCATCACTGCATAACACTTAGCTGAGGACAGCACAACAATGATGATGATGATGATGATGATGATGATGATGATGATAGTGGCTATGATGATGTGATGATGGTGATGACGATAGTGGTGGTGGTGATAATGATAGTGATGATGGTGATGATGATGATGGTGATAGTGTACTGGTGATGTGGTGATGATGATGGTGGTGATGATGATGGTGATGATGATGATAGGGGTGGTAAAAGTGGTAATGATGAAGGTGGTGATGGTGATAATAATAGTGATGATGTTGGTGGTGATGGTGATGATGATGAAGGTGGTGGTGGTGATGGTGTCAGTGGTGATGGTGATGACGATAGCAGTGATGGGAACAGCTGACATTAGCTGCGGATTCACTCTGTGCCAGGCACTGTTTGAGGCACTTTATTCAAATTACCTATTTAATTACATTTCTAATTAGAACCATTACGATCATCTTCCCCTTCTTAGCAGGAGAGGAAACTGAAGCACAGAAAGGTTAAATATTAGTCACACAGCTAGAAATTAGCCCTGCTGGATTTACACCCAGACGATCTGACCTCGGAATCCACTCCTACCCAGGACCTTGTGCTGCCTCTGGGTAGAGCTGGGCAAACCCAGAGACCTGAGTGGGTGCTGTGGGACCTGGTCTCCCCGCATCACAGAACATCCCATGCACTCCTGAGAGGCCCCAGATTCCCAACAGGAGAGAGGACGATTGACTTGACCCCAAGGCCTGTTGTTGGCAGAGCTAAGGGCGCCAGGACCGGGGAGGGGGAGGCAGTGGTTAGGAGCAGAGGCTGGTCTGAGCTCAACTCCCAGATCTACAGTGTGCCAGCTGAGTGACAGGGGAACGTCCATGTCCTCCTCTGTACATGAGGCTAAGACTGGGCCTTAGCGGATAGTTGTGACAGGGACGAAACGAGAGAATGCACGTCAAGCTCCTAGCGCGGTGCCTGGCACGTGGTGAACACTCGAGAGTGCGCCCTTATGTCATCATTACTCTTCATATTACTGATGATGTCATAGGACTCGCTCTGCTGTCTCCTCAATATTTTTTTAATATATTTTATTGATTTTTTACAGAGAGGAAGGGAGAGGGATAGAGAGCCAGAAACATCGATGAGAGAGAAACATCGATCAGCTGCCTCCTGCACACTCCCCACCGGGTATGTGCCCGCAACCAAGGTACATGCCCTTGACTGGAATCGAACCTGCGACCCTTGAGTCCGCAGGCCGACGCTCTATCCACTGAGCCAAACTGGTTAGGGCTCTCCTCGATATTTTTGCTGGGGAAAAAAACACAGAACCTGCTGGTGTGATAAACATCAGCTCACGCTTCTGGAGAACATTATGGCTGACGTTAGAGGCCCATGATTGAAATTCCCAAAAGATGTAAACTGCCAGCAGGGACTGTTGAGATCCTGAGAGGCAGCCCAAGAAGGGCCACCAGCAGGATCCTCTAATATTTTTATTGTTTAATTAAATTAAAAACTTTAAAAAATATTTTATTAATTTTTAGAAAGAGAGGAAGGGAAAGGAGAGAGAGAGAGAGAACGAGCCCCAGGGCCAGGGATCTAACCTGCAACCCAGGTACATGCCCTTGACCGGGAATGGAACCTGCGACCCTTCGGTGCTCGGGCCGACGCTCTAACCACGGAGCCACACTGGCCAGGGCAGTTTTCCCTTTTGTAAACCATGTTGCAGTAGATTTTGCAGCAAGGTATCTTTTCACACTTGCCGGAATATTCTTTTAAGATAAATTCTAGAAGCGGCATGTGCTGCGTGTAAAGAGCTTGGACACCCCCGGGACACCCCGACACTAGGACACCCCCATGGACACCCCCGGGACACCCCGACACTCGGACAACTGCAAGATGCCCTGACTCCGTCCTCCCCTCCCCCTCCCTCCTTTCCAGATACTTTCATGGTGGAAGATGCGGTGGAAGCCATTGGGTTTGGAAAATTCCAATGGAAGCTGTCTGTGCTCACCGGCTTGGCTTGGGCAAGTATTTCTGGGGCAGGACCTCCCGTTCAATCTCCAAGAAACCCTAACTTCTGCTGCTCCACTGGGTTTCCATGATCTACGAGGAGGGACCCAGCTCTTTCTACAGAGAGCCTCGGGGTGAATCAGTCAGGGTCATGATGAGTGGCCCTGGTGGTCATGGAGGTCAGTGCTTGCGGTAATGTTGACAACTGCCCTCAGGAGGAGTGGGCGCTTCTGGCTAATTAAATGGCTCTCCGTCCCTGGGGGCTCAGGGCTACGCTGAGACCGGGATGTCATCTGCGGAGCTCCCCCTAGAAAAGCAGGCACAGAGAAGAGTGAGCCCTTTGCTTCCCAAGGCTCACGTCTCTTGTTAAAATCCCCTCGTCTACCTATTGCAAATAACGCATCTTGACCATTAATACAACCAAAATTGATTTTGGGGAAATGGTGCAAGAGGGCGACCGAATTAAATATTTCCCAAAATAGATGTTTAATTTCCCCACTGATTTGAAAGGCCACCCGTATCGCCCATCACCTTCCCACGCCCACATGGGTCTGCTTCCGGACTCTCATTTCTGCCCCGTGGTTCGGTCTACCTCGTCCCATAAAGGATGTTTCATTACTGGCACTTCCTAGTATGTTTTAATATATTAAAAGGTCAGACGAGAGAATTCTACAGGAACAAGGGCCTTTAAACCAAAGACAAACTCGTTTTTAGTTGAACTAAAGAGAAAAGAGTCTTGTCTATCTCTGTAAAAAAAAAAAAAAGTTTTTCTCAGATTTTTGAAATGCGATGTTTTCCCACTTCATTCAGGGAATGCCTATATATTTTTTAAATACAGAAAAACACACACACACAAAAAGAATGTTGAATGGTTAATTGTCAATTCCCACATGTACCACACTGTTTAACTACTAGAGATTGTGGTGTGTTTGATGTGTGGTAGGGCGCTCAGCGGGCAGTGGAAGAGGGGTTCTTGCACGCTATCTCAGGGGTCCCTGAGTGAGGGGTCAGCGTCCAGGCTCTCACAGGGGGGGATTCCTGAGCCAGAGGTCAGCTGTCCAGGCTCTCATGGGGGAGGGGGATCCCTGAGCCAGGGGTCAGCCGCCCGGGCACCAGGCAGCGTCCTGGCTCCTGACACCTGCTTGCTCCCTGCAGATGGCCGACGCCATGGAAATGATGATCCTGAGCATCCTCGCGCCCCAGCTGCACTGCGAGTGGCGGCTCCCCAGCTGGCAGGTGGCCTTGCTGACCTCGGTAGGCAGCAGCGGCTCTCCCGCTGGGTCCAGTTCCGGTCCCCTGGGGTGGTCTGTGGGGGGGCCCCTCCCCCTGCTGCTGCCAGCTGCTCAGTAGAAAAAAATGGAACTCTCTGCATGGAAAACCGTGACCTCAGCTCCCTTTACTCCCCGTTGGTTGGCAGCCACCTCTACTGCACCCAGGGGTCCAAGTCCCCGGGGTCCCCAGACATCAATTGCCGGGAAGTTGCAGGCTACTTGGGCACATCACGGAGACCTTATACACCTCATTCATCCCAAAAGGGTGTGCCAATACCTCCCACAGGAGGGTGATTTGAAGATTTTATTTTTTTAAATAAGTTTTTATTGATTTTAGAGAGAAAGATAGACACATCGATGAGAGAGAAACATCAATATCGATTGGCTGCCTCCTGCACACCCCCTGCTGGGAATCGAGCCCAAAACCCAGGCATGTGCCCTGACCGGGAATTGAACCGTGACCTCCTGGTTCATAGGTCGATGCTCAATCCCTGAGCCATGCCGGCCGGGCTTGAGCAGGTTTCTTAACCCTTCTGAGCCTCAGGCTCCGCTTCTATAACATGGATATGATGATTCCAACCTCATTAGCTCTATTCAAGGATTAACAATGTAACAGTGACTTTGCCCAAGCACAGTCAGTGCTCCATGAATGCTTTCTCTTCTAATGGGTTACAGCTCCCATCCCAACCTCCTGTCTCCTGTTTTCATACTCTCCAAACTCTGTCTTGCAGCCTTTGATATTTTCTTAGCAACAGGACAAGAAATCAATAGTACTTGCAGCCATACTGCCTGAGTCCAGCCCGGGCTGCCCCACTTACAGATGTGTGACCCCCGCCAAGTGACCTCCCCTCGCTGAGTCTCAGTTTCCTCATCTGTAAAATGGGGACAATAACAGTACCCCCCTCCCCTCGGATGGTTGTGAGGTTTCGACAGTAGCATGGAGCACCCAGAATCGTGTTTGCCCCTTAGCCGGATCTCAGCGAATGCTGGTTCACTGTTATCGCTAAGGTGTGACGTCATAGGTTCCATCTGTCGTGCCCTTTCTCTGCAATCAGTGTTCCGTGTCACCGTCTAACAGAAACCCTCTTTCCACCCACAGGTGGTCTTTATCGGCATGATGTCCAGCTCCACCCTCTGGGGAAACATCTCAGACCAGTACGGCAGGAAAACAGTAAGGCCATCTCTCCTAAGCGCCTGTCCCCTAGCCTCAGCGGTCGGCAAACTGCGGCTCGGCCAACAGCGGCTCGTGAGCCACATGCGGCTCTTTGGCCCCTTCAGTGTGGCTCTTCCACAAAATACCGGCTCTTCCACAAAATACCGACTTCTGCGCATGGGCCACGAAGTTTCAATCGCACTGTACGTGCGTACCTGTACGTGGTATTTTGTGGAAGAGCCACACTGAAGGGGCCAAAGAGCCACATGTGGCTCGCGAGCTGCGGTTTGCTGACCACGGGCCTAGGTTATCTCCGTGATGATGGTGACAAGTAGCAACACTTAAGCTGCTTGAGCACGTGGGAGGCCTAGTTAGGAGTCTTGTTGATGTGCTATGAGAAGACATTGCGCTGGGGCCACTGTGGAGTCTTTGAAATCACACATTCCCGGGGTCGCCCAAGCATGTGCATTGCAAGACCCTTTGGGTTCCTAGGAGGAAAATCTCCATTGAGCTAGCTTACGCCCAAAGAAAGGAATTAAGTCTATGTGTGGCAGGCACCAACTTCATAGTCATGGGCTTAGGGGTGCATCAGTGTTGTTTTATTATTATCGCAATAGAGCCAGGGCTTCCTTCTTGAATAATTCCTGTCCTACCTGTTCTCTTAGGTACCCAATACCTTTATTTGTATCAATTGTTGTGTGTGTAGTTTAATGACATGAATTTTTTTGGGGGTGGGAAAGAAACTCTACCGAGCGTCTTAAATGGGAAATCAGTAACAATTGCCCTAAGGCAGTGGTTCTCAACCTTCCTAATGCCTCGACCCTTTAATACAGTTCCTCATGTTGTGGTGACCCCCAACCATAAAATTATTTTCGTTGCTACTTCATCCCTGTAATGTTGCTACTGTTATGAATCGTCATGTAAATATCTGATATGCGGGATGTATTTTCATTGCTACAAATTGAACATAATTAAAGCATAGTGATTAATCACAAAAACAATATGTAATTATATATGTGTTTCCCGATGGTCTTAGGCGACCCCTGTGAAAAGGTTGTTCGACCCACAGGTTGAAAACCGCTGCCCTAAGGAAATATCTGCAAAAGTATATACAATGACAATAAAACAATGTTATTAAGTTCTAGCTGCTCACCGTCGCCCACTGCTCTCTTGGTTAAAAAGAGAGATGGGTAGGTGGTCCAAAAGGTGTTAAAGACACACTGGCCCCACACGGATGCTTCCTTTGGCCATAACCAGAAGAATGACTATTAAAATGAAAAAGAAATCACTTCCTTGCAAGGTGATTCGCAGTTATTTGAAATATTCTCTCTATTAGTTAAAGTCATGTTCCCAAAGACCTGAAATCAACTGGTAGACCTCCAAATTTCCTCTCTAGTCCTTTTCATCTAGTTTAAGGTTTTAAAAAATATTTTTTTTAAAATATTTTTTTAAAATGATTTTAGAGAGGAAGGGAGAGGGAAAGAGAGAGACATCAATGATGAGAGAAAATCGTTGATCGGCTGCCTCGGGGATCGAGCCCACAACCTGGGCATGTGCCCTGACCAGGAATTGAACCTTGACCTCCTGGTTCACAGTTCGATGCTCAACCACTGAGCAGCACTGGCCTGGAGGACAAGCCTTCCTGGGTCTCATGCACGATGGGACATCTTACACCTCTGGGCCCTGGCTATCCATGCCAATCATTGGGGCAACTAAGAAAGCCCCACAATTTTGCCACATACCTCCTAGGGGTGGGCAGCAGCCACACAGAGAATCCTTGGTTGTATGGGTCCCCCTTGAACAGGACCCTATGGGTGACTTTAAATATGTGGGGGCCCTGAGACCTGGCGGTGCTGAGCAGCCCTGTGACTTGGTGTCTCCCATTGTGCAGGGGCTGAAGATCAGCGTGCTCTGGACTCTGTACTACGGGATCCTCAGTGCTTTCGCGCCCGTGTACAGCTGGATCCTGGTGCTCCGGGGCCTGGTGGGCTTCGGGATCGGAGGGGTCCCCCAGTCGTAAGTAAATACCCTGCTCTGGCCTGGCAGCCAGGCAGCCAGTCACCTGTGTCAGGGCCTCGAGGTCTCACAGCTAATAAACAGCAGAGCTGAGATTTAAACATCACTTGATCCTCCAAACATCCTATCTTAACTGTATCCTATAACTCTTTTGTCTATGAGGGAAGCACATAAAAACCACAAACAGAATTACAGAAGAAATATTTAACCACCCAAGAGAGCCACTGGCCTCCCAGCTCTTTCGCTTCAGCCATTTACATAAAAATAATCGTCTTCATCGGGCAATGTTCTTATCTAGTTATAAAAATGGCTCCCCTAAGTTCATTATTTGGAAACATCTAGTTGAAGATATTTTTATGTAATTAAATGTAACGAAGAGTTTCCATTCGTTTAGAATAGCTTTACCCAATTGCACCACCTCGCAAAACCAAATGAGTAGGCTTTTGCTGTGTAGTTTTTAAGAGCCCAACAATGAGAAGTCCTTATAATGTACTCTAAATTTTTAGTATGAAGGCAAATTATAGCATTAAAATGTTTTAATTAAAATTTTTTTCTTTCCATTTTATTGATATATAATCGACATACAGCAGTTTAAGGAATACGACCTAATGACTTGACTTACATATCTTGCAAAATGATTACCTCAATAAGTTTAGATAACATCCATCATCTTCTATACAGATTATATGATTAACAAGGAGCCAGATCATCTCTCTGCTCTGATCTGTGCCTTTCTATGTCCCTCCTCTTTCTTTTTTTTTTTCTTTCCTTTATTTCTTCCCTCAAAGTAGGTGTTCACATCAGTTCTTGGTGAGAGCAACAGTATTAGCATTAATAGTGATGATGATGATGATGATATTAATTGAATGTTAACCAAGTGCTAGGCCTGTGCCAGGTGCTCTCTTCACACTATCTCATCTTGTCCATTGAACAATCCTATCATCCCCACTTTACAGATGAGAAAACTGAGGCTCAGAGATCCTAAGTGACTTGTGGGGTCAGGTGGTTCTTCAGTGGGGTGTGGAAGTTACTTTTGCTTTGTAACAAACAATCCCAACACTTATGGCTTAAAAATAATGGTTTGTTTAACTCGTGCTTCTGCAGTTCGTCAGATTGGTTGTTCTGGTCTCAATAGGGCTTACTTATGTGTCTTCAGTCAACTGGTGAACTGAATGGGGGCTGGTTAGTTTAGAATGGCCACAGCTGACTCCTCTGCATTCCACCAGCCTCTCGTCCTCCAGCTGGCTAGCCCAGGCACCTGGTCACATGGTACCTGGGCAGGGGTCCAAGAGCAAGCAGAAGCCACAGAGCCTCTTGAGGCCCAAGCTTGGGACTGGCACAGCATCCCTTCTGCAACATCCTATTGATCAAAAAGCAAGTCACAGAGCCCAGACTGAAGGGATGAGGACGTAGATTCTGGATGGAGTGAGCTGCCAAGTCTCATTGCGAGGGAGCACAGATGCAGGGAGGGGAAATTGTACGGCAGCGTTTGCAAACCATCTACTGGTTCCAATCCAGGTTGCCCAACGCCAAAGCTCTTTCACTTGAACAAATGTTGGGAAAGGGTTCTGAGCTTACGTAGTCAGAGGTCCTGGTAAATCAGTAATGCCCATGGGGCCTGAGTACTGATTTGGGGAGGATTCTGGGGACGTAGAATGGGTGGTTCTGAGCAGGTGGTATTCTTTTTTTTATTATTTTAAATTTTTCTAAGTTGATTTCAGAGGAAGAGAGAGAGGGAGAGCAACATGGATTTATTGTTCCACTTACATATGCATTTATTAGTTGACTCTTGTATGTGCCCTGACGGGGGACCCGACTGGCAACTTTGGTGTATCGGGATGATACTCTGACCAGCTGAGCCACTGGCCAGGTGCTATTCTTTTAATTAAGGCAGGAAAGAGGAATCACATTTAGGATACTAATAATTCCATTTTCTGTTCGTGAAGGAGCATTAAAAGAGACTTTAATTCAAGCAAGGGAGGTCAATGTCACTTTCTTTTTATCACTACAGACCATACATTTTCGTTTTAGAAAAAAATTTCAGTGGGAATAAGCATCCTCCCCACCCCCAAATGATCTTCGCCTATCATCGAACCCACCCACTCACACACACAAAAGAATGCGCGATACAGGTGGGCACCTGGGCACATCACTTCCTCTGTCCAGTAGAGGGTGCTGTGTGCTTCAGCAGAAATGCCACTTTCCCAAGAGGTTGGATGGAAACCTTCATTAACTGGCGCCCGACTTGTGTTTTCGCTGCTTTTAAAAAATGCATGCGCATCCCAGGGAGCTGCCCACCGGGTCTACCTTGCCACCTGCCTCAGAAGGTTCTTCAGATTGGTGTCTACAATGAGCTCGCTCACAAACCTGTCCTTGGCACGGCTTTTTCTTCCAAAGAAAAAAATCTTTTCTTCCCAAAGATTAAGCAGAAATGAGGAGTGGAGAGCACAGATCATTTCTTTCTAAGCCTGGGATCCAAATGGCAAGTGTCCATGGCCGACGCGCCGCAGTAAATGCGATGACTTGCAGCGAGGGTTTATTTACGCCAGGATCGGCTGCTTCTTGGCATGGCTAATTTTGTTGCTCATTCTTTTATTTTTTCAGTGTCATTGTAATCATAATCACCACACATTGGATGTAGATCAAACAGCTCGTTTTCATTGTAAACCGCTATGAATCATGGCCAAGTGTGGGGCACAACAATCCTGGGAAAAGACGTTTCTGGTGGCCGAGGTTGCAAAAAACAGGAAATGGCAAACATCTACATGTTGACCAACAGGGTTAGAAAATAATGCTGTAGATCTATGTATGTGAATATGGAAAGATTCCCAAGCTGTCTTATGAGAAGCAGATCCTGACACAGATTCAGGAACAAGTACAGTTGAGCCTTGAACAGTGAGGGGGAGAAGGTTAGGGACCCTACCACTCTGCAGCAGAGAATTCTAATATAACTTTTGACTGCCCACTGGCCTAGTAAAGGGATTCCAGGAGATCTGGAGGGGTCCTGAGCACCATCTGCCTCGAAAGGGTTCGTGGAAATTAGCTTCCCTCTACCCCCACCTCCCTTATGAGGAGCCAGGAGAGTAACATGAGGCCACCACGTAGCTCGGGTGCCTGGCTTAGGTGGGAGATGAGGGGAAAGAGAAGGTCTCCTTTTCCTACAACATGGAAGGCAGCATGGGGGCGTGGTCTAGACGTTTCCTTCTCCTCCGGCCTGTCCAGTGGCTGAGGAAGGGAAAGGGGAGGGAGGGGCGTGGGGAGGCGGTGGTTGGAGGAGGCTGCTGGTGCAGTTAAGGTGTTGGTTACATTGAGCACACAGGTAAGTTGACTGACCAGATACATAAATATATTGAGGATAGTGAGACCCAGATTCCTCAGTGTTGGAGAAGGGATTTACAAACACGGAAACTGGAAGGTTAGAAAGAACCCTAACCTTCTGGTTGGACTGGAATTGAAAGTATCAGTATGAGCTCATTGTTGTTGTTTTTTTAAATACCTGTACATGGATATAGATATATAGATATAGCTATATGGTGTGTATGTGGGGGAGAGAGAGAAACGGACAGAGATGAATAAATAGATGATAGATAGATAGATAGATAGATATTAGATAGATCTCTTAGCTGTGTTCACTGAGAGGGCCTAGAACAGTGGTTCTCAACCTTCCTATTGCCGCGACCCTTTAATACGGTTCCTCATGTTGTGACCCCCAATTTCATTGTTACAGATTGAACATAATGAAAGCATAGCGATTAATCACAAAAACAATATGTAATTATATATGTGTTTTCCGATGGTCTTAGGCGACCCCTGTGAAAGGGTCGTTCGACCTCCAAAGGGGTCGCGACCCACAGGTTGAGAACCGCTGGCCTAGAAGCAGTGACACCCCAGTAGCAATGAGCACACTGAGACCCAGACCTTGGTTTCTAAATACCATCATCTGCCAAAAGGAGCCAGGGCTTCTTAGAAAAATGGCTGACACCAGGGCTCAGGCAAGGACGTCTTGTCATGCCAACAAGTAAGAAAGAGCTCAAGGAATGAGGGAGGCAGCAAAAAGACATAGGAATTAGCTTAAAAGGGCTTGCACTGTGCAGATCTAGGACAGTCTGAGCATCAAATTAATAATGGCAGAAATGGGTTACAATCCATTGAATAAAACAGAAATCCACAAATCCTTATTGATTAAATGAATAGGTAGATAAGTAGGTAGGTAGATAGGTAAATAGACAAATAGAGATAAAGGGGAGCAGGGAAACCTTTTCCTTATAGTAGAATGTCAACCAATAAATGTAGACAGAATAATGGAAATAAAAATACCCTTTGTGACCATCATCGTGGTGATTTATTCAGGCAGAAATAATCAATAGACGGGATGCTTAAGCTGGAGGGTAGAAGGTCTGTGGGTAACAGGATTTAGGGTAATCTCTGAATGTTCCCTCCCAGAGGACTTACTCATCACAAATGGAAAATAATAACGGTAGGGTGGAGAAATCTGTCAGACACCAACTTGATCCGGGGATGACGCTTAATAGCACCAGTGATAAGATGGGTGGACATCACGCCCCCCGACATCAGGCCCTGGGAAGGGTTTGGCATTATTTCTGTGACTGTCTGGCCTGGTCACAAGGAGACATCAGATGGACCCAGGATGCAGGGCAACCTACAGATTGAAAGGCCTGTTCTCTTCCAGATTATTTGGGACTTGAGTGACAGAGAGAACCTGAGGAACAGTCCTAGAATGTAGTTGTCCATCACCCCACCACCCGGTGTCCCCCTGGGTTGTGGAGAGGGCTCCATGAAAGCAATGATCACATGTGAGAATCATTTGGGGAGCTGGTTAAAAATGCAGATGCCAGGGCCCCACCCCTTGGAGTCTTGTTTCTGAAGGTCTGGGGTGGGACCTGGGGGTGTACCTCTAAAGTCATCATCCCAGGAAATTCTGGTGTAAGTGGTCCATGGACCACACTCAAGGGGATGTTGGCCTAGAGCTTCAGAAAGCTGTAGCAGCCATCTTCCTAATCAGTCCTGGCCTTAACCCCCTTTCTGTCTCTTTGCTTCCCCAGGGTGACGCTGTATGCCGAGTTCCTTCCCATGAAAGCCAGAGCCAAGTGTATTTTGCTGATCGAGGTAAGGAGGGTGGCTGGATTTGTGGAGACTTCTCAGTCTCTGGCATGAGGTTCTCAGGTGTCTTGAGCCGCAGGACAAGGAAAAGCGAGTTTAAGAAAAATATAAAAGCCCTGACTGGTTTGACTCAGTGGATAGAGCATCAGTCTTCAGACTGAAGGGTCATGGGTTCAGTTCCAGTCAAGGGCACATATCTCAGTTGCAGGCTTGGTCCTCGGCCCTAGTCAGGGCACATGCAGGAGGTAACCAATCGTTGTGTCTCTGTCACATTTCTCTCTCTCTCTCTCTCTCTCTCTCTCTCTCTTTCTCTCTCTCTCTCTCTTTCATTTCTTCTCCCTTCTATTCTCTCTAAAATCAGTGGGAAAATATCCTCAGGTGAGGATTAACAAACAAAAAAAGAAAAACATAACAGACTCAGTATGCAAAGACTTAAGTGGATCAGCTATGTTGATTTCAACATGGTTGTTTTGAAAGTTCTTCAATTGATGAGAGAGAGAGTGAGTGAGAGAGAGAGAGAGAGAGAGAGAGAGAGAGAGAGAGAGTGTTTGGCCAGGACTGTTGGATGGGAGCTGTAACCTTCACCTGAGGGATGCAGCCAGCGCATCACTACCCTGCAGAGAGGGAGCCAGAGGGATGAACACCCAATCTCTCCTTCCTCCCTCCCTCCCATCCCTGCGGGAAGCCACAGGACAGGGAGCCTGTGGATCCAAGGTGAACAAGGACAGAGAGTGACTTGGAGAAGCAAACAGAGGAGATGCAGTCCCACAGGGAAGAGGCAATTCCGATAAAGGACATTGGAGCACTGCTGGGCAGGGGAGATGGATGTCAATGGACAAAAACCAACGTGTTCACTTACCATACTGAGCTCGCACAATATGGGTCCTATTGATCTCCTTAAGCAGAGCTGCCACAGCGCACACTCCAGTGGGTGCCACGCAAACATTCTGCACTGTGGCTGGACAAGGTGGTGGCTCCGGCCCAGCCGTACAAACCACAGGAACGGCGATGGCCATTCTGACCTTGCTGACCCCGAGGACCCCGTACCCACGTGGGTTATCTTGTCGGCAGTGACCCTGAGATTGCTCACTGTGTTGACCAATGCTGCCCCTGCCGCTGACCCCCGTTCTTCTGTCCAGGTGTTCTGGGCCATCGGCACCGTGTTCGAGGT